GACAATCTTTAACAAATTACTAACTATAATGCACAATCATCAGAACTTCATTTTTATACAGATGATTTAGTTATCAATCTGAGAATCTTACAATGCTCTATGGGCATTGGATTAGCCCAAATTTTAAATAATATATTGTATACATTCCAAGCTCAAACAAGATACTGGTTTTGCTTATTAAAGTCTAAGCTTACTGCTATTTTATCAGCTCTTATTGTTGCTTAGAAAAACTGTACTATACATATATATACTAACTTACAGTTTGTAATTAATAAATATTACAGTCTTTCAAACTTAACTCATATCTTATCCTATACAAATACATTATATTGTTTATTATAGAACATACTTATTAACTTTGTTAAATTATACAATATCTATATTATTTTTTACAAAGTCACTATTCATCAGAATGTTTAGTACAATAATCTTGCAAATCAACTTGCATGTAGTCATTACAATTTGTCATATTTTACCTTTATGTCTTATAATATTTACAACCCTACATATATCTTAAACTTTAAAAACTTTCTTTTAGAAATACCTATTTATTATAATATTTATATAATATGTTATACACATATTTACACATTATGAATTATATAAAACTATTTGCAAAAATAACACAAAATCCTTAACCAAGTTAATTAGCAAGCTACCTAGCTATATATTAACAATAATCAAAAAATCTCAAACTTCTTATATAGCTTTCAGTTATCTACTCTTAAATTCTTCAGAATTATAATTCTACTAGATGATCTTCTTATTCCATATATTTTACATAAATGATATCACTCATACTTACCTATCTGTTATTACTATTATCAAATCAGTTCTCATCTTCACTGGACAACTTGTTCATCTAATCAACTACTATCAAATACTATAACAATCTGCACAACTAAATTAAGCTGTTGAATAGTATAACTATTCATAATATATCAGATTTATCTTCAGTCTTTTTAACTCTAACAGGTCTAATACCAAATAAATTTATTAATATTATTACAACTTTGTTATCCAAAAAAATAATCACAACACTCATAATCAAGTTCTTACTTCATCTTAATTAACAAATCTATTATAAAATCTTGATTTCATATTGTATCTTAAGATCTACAATCCAATCTCCTGAATATAACACACCTTTAAATGCTGTCTTATTTTTATCATACTCTCTTCTATTCAATTCTATTAGTTCAAAAATAAACTTCTGATATATCCAATAGATTAAATATTAAACTAATCCTCTATATATAATTACTAATACTCAAATCTAGGTGAGCCTTGACCACTTCAGTTGGTTTAGGTCACAGATAAATTAGCCTAAGCTTCTATTCTTTCTATAATATTTTAAAAACAAAATTGTACTTTATGTAAAATCTCAATTAAATATTCAATAAGATAGAAGTATGACCTCACCATTAATATTAAAAAAAAAAACAATGCAAAACAAACATCTAAATTTGACAAACATAAAGCTAATAAAAATTTTAACACTGAGCCTATTGTTGAAAAGAGCATAATTAAATCTATTGATTAAAAAAAAATGACATAAAAACTATATCCTTCACTCAAAAAGTGTATCTTTAGTAGTTATTTTAAAAAAAATCTATGATATATTGCACTAATAAGAAAACAACCTGTATAATTAATTTTCCGAAAATTTTAAAATAACCGATAAAAAATCCTCAATAATAAATAATACACGTAACCCTAATTATGATTTGATTTACTGATTTTATAATCGCCCAGTGTTACGCTACACTAAATCATGATTAACAATTGGATAATTGTTTGTCGATCATCATGTGACTGCGGAATTTTGTTGGCGATCCTGAAAATTAAGTAAAGATAGGATTTGATTTTCGGTAAGAGTTTCGAATTTCGAATTTCGACTTTCGACTTTCGGTAAGACTTTCGACTTTCGATTTTGTGCTTTTGGCAAGTCGAATTTACTGGCACGCCCAAAGCAATTTTAGAGCATCCTTAGATGTAACGTGAAAATCACGATTTTTTAAAAACTGCTAATAACTCTAAATTTTGTCTATGAAACTACCAATAAAAAAATGCCTTGCAAAATTTTGGTATAGATATATCCTCCTTCGATCATTACCTAACCATAACATAAGGTTTTAGGACGTTAAAAATATTGGCATATTAGTTTTCATAGGAAGAAGTTTGTCTGATTGGCTAATAAATTCAATTTAATTTTACATTATTTATACAGTTTAGAGTACTTTTTAAAAAAAATAAAACTACAAAGAATAAACAAAAAAAGAAGTATATAGAAAGTTTTATCAGGGTTGTAGGACTCTACTATTAAAAATAATCTAAATCAATTTTTGTTTTAGAAAAGTTAGCATAGTAATAACCCAATTCTATCTATCTTTAAGAAGTCGCTATTATGCTAACTTCTCTAAAACAAAAATTGATTTAGATTGTTTTTAATAGTAGAGTTCTACAACCCTGATAAAACTTTCTATATACTTCTTTTTTTTGTTTATTCTTTGTAGTTTTATGTAAAATTAAATTGAATTTATTAGCCAATCAGACAAACTTCTGCCTATGAGTTTAATACAGGTCTAACGATTTTGAATATATAGGCCCCGGCGGGTCTCTGTAAGATAACGGCCTTTGCAATATTCAAATGCAATATATTTAAATATTATGCTTATTTCTTACCATATAACCCGTATTTAATGACGGGCTATTTACTAGTATAAGTTTTTATAACAATAGGGTTAATCACAAACTTAATCACTTGAAGGGTTTTATATAAATAGGGATCCGATTACTAATAAAGTTTTTCTCTTTTACTTTTAGCGAACTAGCGATAACGGGTCTTTTACTAGTCATGGGGACAAGAAAAATACGATGAAACGAAAAACAATTTAATTATAGGGCAGGGCTAGTAACAGACACCCATGTAAAATCGACGCACCCAAATTTCATATGTAAAATTTGGGTAAATGTTGCGTATTAAGCTTATTTAACAAAAAAGAATTGTTGGTTTAAATTTTAAGCGAAAGTTTGAAATTCTCTAGCATTTGAAGGCTCTTTACACAAAATTTCAAGGTTGTTCGAAATAAAATGATGACCGCCAAGTTTGCCAATATTTTTACGATTTTTACCATTTGTTTATAAGTGATGTAAAGTGATGTAATAAGGGGCGTCAATTTAAAAAATTTAATAGACGTCTTCTGATTACTTGTTTTGAGGGGTCCTTAAAGCCGGGTTGAAAAAAGTTACATTTTTTGATATATTTAGAGTTACCTTTTTGATACAGTTAGGGTTAGTTGGTTATTTAGATACGTATCAAGAATATAATTTATGCAGTATGTAGATCAATATATGAAATCTGTTTCACTTTAAGGGGAATTTCCTTATGTCAAGAAAATCCCGAGCTGACGGCCAAAAAGATATGAGTCGTAGTATATCAAAAATTCACTATATATCCAACATTAACAATTATGTTTTATAAGTAAAATTTCATTCTGAAAACTTTTACTTAGAGGTCAGAAGTTAGTTATCATAGTAAATTTTTGTGTTATTTGCGTTTTTTTACAATTTCTTATGTTTTTCGCGTTTGTTTTGTTACACGAGATCCTGTGATTTTATTGGATCCGGATAGGGTACCCGTAATTTAAATCACTAAATCAAATTGTGTTGACCTTACCCAATAATATTGAAATTTTAAATTTAACAAATTGGATTCTTTATTTGACAAATATTAATAAATAAACTGTGTGAGTTTTATTTAATATTTATTTTAACTTTGATTATATAGCATACTCATATGGATCCGTGTTATTTCACCGACAGCTCATATAGCCGACATCACACCAGGCGACAATTTACTAAAAATGCTAATCCTAACCCTATGTGATGTCGGTTAAATGAGCTGTCGGCGAAATGATTGTTGGCGAAGTAAACGGCACCGACTCATATATATATTATAAAGGGAATAAATCACTCATAAATTTACGTTAATAATAAAATTTAAAAATCTTAGTTATATGACATAGGAATTCCATATATTTAATTTTTAACTTGAAACATGAGGAAAGAGTCACTTGCTGAGATGGCGGGACTCCAGCAATGCCCAGTGTTTTGTTGATCAGGGTGCGACGAAGGTTTTAGTTGCATATTATTTATCGTTTGGGGAGTAGTGGGCATTTGGATGCTGTTAACGTTCTAAAAGAATATAATAATTATAGATTCATTATCAATTTACTTATTTTGTCAAAAGGTAATAGTGAGTTTATAAGTTCATGGTGAACAACATTTAAACTTTGAATAGCTTAGTAATACCTCGTCAAAAATGGTTTCTAAAAATTCATGAATAACTTTTGCGTCCGGTCTATTTGTGGGTTCATCATTCCAACAGCGTTTATAAAGTTCAAAATATTTAGGTGGTGTGCCTTCCACGGGTGTTTCTCTTTCCCCTTTAAGTATACGTGAAATTATTTCTTGAAATTCCAGATTCTTAAATGGCTCTTTACCGCTTGAAATCTCCCAAAGCATAACACCAAAACTATAGATATCAGATTTCATAGTACGCTTATATTGTTTATTAAGAAAAGATTTAGGTTCAGCATAAGCAAATGAGTCTGGTGAAAAAGATCGATTAAAATTTGCGATTTTTGGTGTCACGTCATGAACAAGTACATTTTCGATATGCTAAAGAATATAAATATATATTAATGATTAATGTACTTAGAATTATTTCAAGAGTAATGATAAGTAAATAGGTCTACAAGGTCACAATGAATAATATTATTCCGGTGTATAAACATAAATCCATCTGAAATTTCCATGGCTATATGATATTTATCTTTCCAGCTTAACCTCGAATAATTTTTTACTAAATACTCCCGTAAAGTTCCATTATTTGCATATTCTAAAACCAAAAGAGACTGGTTGGATAAATCTAGATTTTTAATATTAACGATATTAAATTAATATTAGCATAAGATTGAATAAAAAAAAAGATGTAATCAAATAATACCCTTAGAAATTCCATAAAATTTGAGAATGTTTGGGTGGCAGCTAACTTTTTGAAAACTTATAAGTGCCTATAAATCCAAAATTTATTATTAAAATTAGGATTTACTTATGTCTGCATATTGAGCAATACCTTAAGTTCTTCAAGAAATTCATCCTCCTTTTTGAAAGATTTGGATTTGAGAGCGACCGTTGTTTTGCAATCATCCCATTTAGCTTTAAAAAACTCTCTCGTGCCAATTGGTTCTAAATTAGAAAAATCCGAAAAATCGACTACATTAATCTGAGCTGCTAATGCTAGCTCTTCTACCTCTTGTTCTAAATGAGAGTTTGGTATAAGGGAAAGATTCATATTGGAATGGGCGTAACGGATAGAAGGCAGAAAAAATGGTTCATTTAATTAAAATTTAATTAAAATTTGATTCATGAAATTATTTCGTAATATTACACAACATAGGTATATCAATATAACGTTATAAATTCTATGTATGAATGAAAGAGTCCGAGTACGTACGTACGTACGTATTTGCCATCATGTCAAGAAAAAATTCAGCTGAACTTCGAAAGGAATTTAAGATTGATGATTAAGAGTGCTTTGAACATTCAGATTTTTCTAATATAGAAAAGATAGATGAAGGACAAGATGGAGAAATATTTAAGGCCAAGTGTATAATTACTAAAACTACTGTAGCCCTAAAAACTTTGAAACAAAAATATCCGGATATAAATATGGAAAAGTTCTCCAAAGAGGTATTTTTAAGCTTTTATAAATTCATTTTTTAATAGTAGTAGCTTAAATTTTACGCGTTTTAGGTTAAAATATTAAAAGACTTAAAAAGAGTTTCGCTTCATCCTAATATCATTACATTTCATGGAGTTACGAAAGGAAAGTACTTTAACAAGAATAATTTAGTGAATATTAAATTTGGATTAATATATATTTATTATAAATTAATAGACTTAAATAGAAATTATTATATAGTTCTGGAATATGCAAATAATGGAACGTTGCATGCATATTTAGAAAAAAATTTTCTAAGATTACAGTGGGAAGACAAACTACGTTTTGCTGAAAACATCTCATCTGGTCTTATGTTCTTGCATAAAATGGATATTATTCACGGAGATCTTGTATGCTATGTTATTATTATTGTATCCACATAATGGTCCTAAATAGATTTGATATTGATACAAATACTTATAACCAGTGTTGTCAATTTCTTGTTCTATTGATAAAAATTATATTCTATTCTAATTTCTATTGCTCTATTCTATTGTTCTATTGTTTTATTTATTTATTGCTATATTAATATCTAATTATAATCTTGTTGGCAATTTTTTGTTCTATTGACAAAATTTTTATTCTATTCTAAATTCTATTGCTCTATTCTATTGTTCTATTCATTTATTGATGCCAACACTGCTTATAACATATTTTTTAGCATGATGAGAACATATTAGTCCACGAAGAAATAATGAAGTTGGCGGATTTTGGACATTCTAAGCATAAGACACTAATAAATCCGAATTCAGGCAATTACGGAAGACCCGCCTTTATCGACCCTGGATTTATTATGGGTGAAAATTCATATCAACTTAATAAAAAGTCCGACATATACAGCTTAGGAGTCATTTTATGGGAAATTTCAAGCGGTAGAAAACCATTTAAGTCATTGGAAAGTAATGCAATAATTCTTAAAATATCTGCAGGAAATCGAGAAGAACATGTTGAAGGCACACCATCTGAATATCGTAATCTTTATGTACATGGCTGGAATGAAGTTCCTGAACTACGACCAGATGCTGAATATGTTCATAAAAGTTTGCATAAACAGAATTGACATTAATGGCACTATTGCTTTTTTTTTTTATATGAACAATTGAGATATGGACTCTTATTTTTTTCATTTTTTTTTCGTTTTTTCGGTTTAAAATTACAATCTGTAAATAACATAGTGACTATATATCACCTTTCATATATATCTTCTATATCGTCTATATATTCCCTGGTTATACTGTATATCCCCTTTCATATATGTCGGAAAAGCACGGGGTTTTTCCAATCAACAAACGTATATAGTTTTATTGTTACCGAACATAAAGACACGCTATTTAAATTAAGCAAATATTGGTCTGGATATGATAATTTCATGTAAATATTTATTTCTTAAATAAATTAAGGATCTTGTATAAGGCATACAAATTTAATATCTAACTTTCATAATATGTAACTTCTAAATAAACTCAGCCGGCCGGCTTTTTTGAAAGTTTTCACATATAAAATTTTATAAAATTCTTATAAATTTTTTTTTCAAACCCGCCTGGTCATTAGAACATATAGATTTTTTTCTTCTTTTTTTTAAAAAAAAAATTCAAATATTTTGATCCGGCCAGGTTATAAAAACCAATTAATTAATTCTACGTGGCCTAATAATAAATCTACATAACTCATAATAAAACCCAACATCATAGAAATCAATAAGTAAATAAATCTTCACGAACCTAATCGCTTATTTTAAATCCTTCAATTAATATTTTTTATATAAATTTTTATTGTTAGATTAGTATAAATAAGATAACATATAAATAACTTATTTTATATTTCAATTGTAAATATTCATTTACCAAATTAGTCATACGAATCAGAAAAAATAAATCTTTATTATCCCGAATAGTAATTTTAAATGCTCAATTAAAAATGTTTGCTAGATTAAACATAATTAATAATGTAAACCATAAACTTGAATAGATAATTTAAATTCTTAATAAATATTGTCACAGCTGAAGCTAAGATCGGACAATGCTAAGAATTGACCTTATTTTGATACGAAATTTTAAAATTTTTTGAAGCGTATTTTTTTGTTTTTTTTTGGGTAGGTTTAGTATACTCAAATTGAGATTCCAAACCTAATCTCGCTTGGGATCGATCATGACAAATATTTTTTATACTTACTGAAATCACACATAAAATGAAACCAAATAGTAAGTACTCATAAACTCAAATTATTAAGTATTTTTATATTCATCAATAAAATAATATGAATAAACTAAATTAAATAATATGTTACTGATTAGATGCAGGACTAGCTCTCAGACCTGGGCGATGCTCCGGGGCTAGGTCTTAAGTGTTTTTGATCTCAGATTCTGTAGTTATTTAGTAGTTTTCTAACTCTTAGGCCCGGATGATGTTTTGAGGTTAGATTCTGTAGTTATTTAATAGTTTTCTAACTCTTAGGCTCAGATGATGTTTTGAGGTTAGGTTCTAAGTGTTTTAATTCTCAGGTCTGAGTGATGTTTTAGGATTAGATTCTAAGTGTTTTATATCTCAGATTCTGTAGTTATTTAATAGTTTTTTAGTTCTTAGGCTCAGATGATACTTTGAGGTTAGGTTTTAAGTGTTTTTTTTTAATATTAAGGTGAATATTTGTGACATAAGATTTTATTAATAGTAAATTTTAGCTAGCAATTGTTGTATAATAACTGCAAAACAATTATAGAAAGAGTATACAACTAGTCACTTATACAACTTTAGTCATTGTCTAATTTAAATAATTTGTTCAAAAGTTCTACATTAGTTAACATATATAAGATTCATATGTAAGTTCTCTATTTAAACACTCTAGATCTTGTATCTACTTTATTTTATTAATAACTCTGATAAATTAGTAAAGATATGTCATAATTATTAAGTTATATTTAACTTTGTACTAAACTTATTAGAGCTTTTTGTATCTTATATTTACAGCTAATTTAATATTACTTTGGTCTAAACCAGTATTTGCAATTAGGATTAACCATTAAATTACTATATTTTTGTAAGATTTATTCAAATCTTGATACTTATTTTTTTAATGTTTTCTTTATTATCTCTTATTAATTATAATTTAAAATTGATAGAACTTTTTAAACTTTTAATCTAGATAGTCTAATATGTTATATTTTAGTATTCTTTTTTTTTAGCAATTCTGATAATCTGGTTAGTTATATACTTCTTTATATATCTTGTTATTTAGTTTATTTGTTTATTCTTTTTGAAGGTATTTTATAAGTTTTTATTAGTTCAATAATACTGTTAAAAGTTTATACTATTTTCTTATTTAGAATTTTTAAATGAACTTCTGACTCTTCAGTTCTTTTATTTTCTGTATCTGGTAGTCTTCACAGGTCAAACGAATGAATAAAGGGTGAATAATAAGTAAATAACAGAAAAAAAAACTGCCATTATTCTACTCTATATCTACCAAATAATGGCAACATAACAGCAGCATAACAGCAGAATAACAGTAAAATAATAGAAGGTTTGTCAATATGAGTAACATAATAGTAACATAATAGCCAAATAATAGAACAGTTCTATTATTTTACTTTTAGTTACAAAGACTAAAAGTAAAATAATGAAACTGTTCTATTATT